CTACTCAGAAAATTGGCCCTGTGGGTCATCTGGAAAAGGAGATGCGCTAAGACAATTGAAGGATCAGAAGTGGCAAGGGAAGAAATGTGGATCTTACTGCTGAGGATGGTGGGTGGAAACAGATTCGGTGCAAATGAAGGGGGGCGACGACAGCTACGAAAGGCAGAACAGAAAGGCTCGCACTCAGAAGATGGGTCTTCCTAAGAGACTGGCTACATCAGGGAAAGATCGCAACCGTGACAGACAACAAAGAAATGGTCTGCTCCAACATCGACAACGAACACGTCTCCATGAAGGGCAAATTGGGACTACAATCTTAAGAAGATAGACGAATCTCCCCGTTTTCTTGCTTTACGCGACACGTTCGACAGACCTAGAAAGGTTCTGAGAGGAAAACTAGGGTAGGGCATGCTGACAGTCAATCCTCCTAATCAGGAGCAATCAATCCTGGTCAGGGTTCCTTCGGCCAGACTGAAGGAAGCGTGAGGGTGTTCACCATGTTTTCCGATTTTTGACTTGCCAGTAGAAAGGAACCGGACTGACGCTCCCCAGCATTGAAATGGAGCCAGGAACATAAGGACCTGTTTTTGGAAGAAAGAAAAAAAAAAAAAGGAGATTACACCGCAGAGAGCCAAGGGACGCAGACGAAGGTCACCGGGGAATGGCCACAGACGGACAAAAGGGACAGTGGCAAGGCGGGTGGTGACTGCAGAAAATGCTGGCAATGCCGGGCATTGTGATCTATTAGATTTCGAAAAGTACTTGATACAAGAATAGGATAGCAAAAAAACACGAGTAGGGGAACCCGCGGTTGGATCGACTCCTTCCCAATATACATACCCAGATTTGATTTAATGTCGATCTAATCAGACTAGTTACCAAAGGCGCGAAGCACAATTCCGAGTATCCCGGTACTATTGTAGAGCCAGGCAACAGCGATCAATGTAGCCAGTGCTGAAGAAGGCAACCAGAAGGCTTGAGTACAGCCAGGATTACTACTGGCAAACAGTCAGCCCCATTGGGGCTAACAGGCTATTTGAAAATTAGCACAGTCTAAAGAGCTATACAGGCAGAGCGGATATTTGGGGACATTGTAGTATCTGAGACGCTGGACCCGGTTCGCAGCAGGTGTAGCTCCCCACCAATATAGACCGGAGCAACCAGCATCAGGCCTACTAGAGGGGGATGCTCTTACCATCGCACCTAGTAGGGGTGAAGCTGGATCCCAAAAAAAAAAAAAAAAAAAAAAAAAAAAAAAAAAAAAAAAAAAACAGGAAAACAAAAACAGACCTACCTTTTGGATTGTGCACCAATTACACTGGCCGTGGTCTACGTCTTGCCCTGCAGAGTGTCACTCGCATCAGAAAACATGATAAGCGAAGTAAACCAGGATGGTTTTGCTTATTGATAAGGATATTGTTTGTCCTCTTAAGGAAACTTCATAGTTCTGATTTTGCTGTTTCCTGATGAATACAGGAATTCTTCACTTCCAGTCCATTGAGTTTCCATCAAGATCAGGCACTGAGGCTGTGGAATTTGCTATCCCTCACATAACTATGAACTAAAAGAGTGCACTTTGCGAAACAAACGACAAAAATAAAAAATTAAAAAACAAGACAAACATAAGGGGCACACTGAAACCATTCATTTTTCTCATTCTCCTTTTAACTCCCCCTTCACCGTGCGTCTCACGTACAAGGCTCGCCACGTTGATGAAGTTGAGCGCGAGCTGTCCCCATCCCCGTGTACCATAACGGCCCACTTGTACGCTGTGAGAAAGAGGCAGAGTGAAGGGGGAGTGGATAAACACAGGGAGGAGAGATGGAGAGCAGACACACAAAGAACGATAAAGGGAAATCAAGAGAAAGTACGGAGTGTGGAGTGAAGATGAAGGCAAAAGAGGATAAATAAGAAAAGGCTCAAGAATGAGTCTGTCCTTGACGACAGACAGGACATACATTGTAACGATGAGGTGGATGAACACATGGAAGACCTAGCCGAGCATTCTCAGTGCAACAATTGCCACGACGGCTGGCATTGAGCATGCCCACCATACACCCCCAACAGATGGCATGTCGATTGCAGGCCAAAATGAAGGAGGAACGGTCACCACAAAAGACCATGCATTCAGTATAGCGCCCATGGCCGCAAAATGGACATATAGTGTCCAGATGCGGAGGGTGCCTGCAGTCAGGAACGGAGGGACAGTCCTCTGCACACATGGATGGAGAAACCATGTCATTGTAGTGATTGTGGCAGAGACGATGGCGGCTACAGCCGAGTGTGACAGTGTTTGTGTCTGTGCAAAGGAGAAGGGCGCAGAGTGTTGGTACATTGTCTTGCTGCAGCACGGGGCCAGAGGAATGATCTTCGACATAAAAGAGATTGCGGACGGTTTGTTGTGGCAAGAAAACAGCATCATTTTGTAAGAAATCAGTGACATCAGTCATGGCATGGACCATGGTGCCGTTGTCCCACAGCTCCCAGTGTTCAGAGGCATGTACAATGGCCATGTAATGGCCAGGCCCGTGCACAATGCAGGCAGAGCTGTGGGATGGAGGATTAAACCACTCACCTGCTCGAGCATTGCGTAGTTCAAGTTGACAGTCCCTCATTGCTACTTGTAGGACAGCAATGGTAAAGCCTCCTTTGCTGGTATAATTACAATCCTCTGGCTGTAGTTGGCGAAGATCAGCATCAAGCTGGAGGGCGATTGCAAGGAAGTCTGATGGTGTATAAAACGGCCGGTGGAGAATGTGTAGACAGATATTAGTTGCCGTCAGACCGCAGAGATTGGCGAGGTTCTCAAGCTGGTTTGTTGGATGCTGGCCAACAATTTGCAGATCACCCAGATGGTGTTGCAGATCACCCAAACTGTGTTGGGTTGTTTGCTGGTCAGTCATTTCCAGATCACCCATGTGGTCTGCACGTGGCGGACCACAAATTTGTGGTTCATGCGAACAATGCTGGTCTGACTCAGCCATTTGCAGATCCCCCATGTGGTCTACGCCTTGTGGTGTCAACTGCAATCCGGGCAGATCATGTTCCAATCCCTCAACATTTAGGGCTGAATCCTGCGTAGGGACTGTCCCTGAAGTCGGGAGTGTACTCTGGGCAGGGACCACATCGTGTTGTACAGGTGTACGGTCTATAGTGCAGCATGCTCGGTGAATAATCACGGCTTTCCTGTGGACCTGGTTACACCCACCCATGCATCTATCCTGACCAGGTTTAATGTACACCTATTCTTTCCTCTGCATTTCACTGCTCATTGGTGAAGACGATGAACCAAGAACCAGAGGCCAAATAGAAGGAAGAAAGAGAAAAAGCAGGCCGTGCTGGAATTGCAAAATGACATACTGCTGGCAGGACCTGACACGGAGCAGGCTGTTTACAGCGAGATAGCCCTCCGAACTGCAGCGACAAGACTGAACAAAGCGGATGAGGTCGTAGTCGCAAGTTCAGAGCCGGCTCTGCTGTTACGACACGCGCCCACTTAGAATTGAACCAGTTCGCAGTTCGACACGCGCCCACTTAGAATTGAACCAGTTCGAACTTCGAAGTAGAAAGGCTGCAAATAATTTGCTCCTGCGGGAGGAAAGGTTGTTGGAAATGAGAAAACCCAGGAGCAGGGGAAAGAAGAGAAGACGCTGAAACAGCCAGCCAAGAAGGGGAAGACAGTTCAGGGAAAGAGAGAAACAAAAAAGGCACAAAGAGATACAGGAACGACTAGAGAATGATAGAGCACAGCTTGAACAGACATTGGCAACTGAGAAGAAAAGGAGGGAAGACCTCATGCAGAAAAGGAAGGAAGGAAAAGGAAGAAACGGAAAAGCAGAGTCTGGAAGAGCTGGTTAAATAGCATTAATGATTACTTGTGAAATTGTCCTCCCTCCTCTCCCTCCATTGCTTCTCAACCTTTGTCTAACTTCCGGTGACTCATTGCCCATTCTGGGACTACATTGATTAAAAAAATTATGGGCTTGTTCTGCATTGTGGGTGGTTCCATTTGAGTGCAATGAAGATACTTTTGCAGGATCAATCTGTGAAACTTTGTCGAAATTGATCGGCTCATCGAGCAATCAACGAATTCAATCCCACCGGGCCATCATCAATTGCCTGCTTCTCAAACAAAGTACCGGAAGACATAATTCATTGCCTGCTAATATGCACTGAAGAAAGAGAAAGGGTTCTGAGACAGTGTGGAGAATCCTGAGCGCGGTATTGTTCAGGCCCCAATCCACTATTTGACCACAGGCTGACCCTCCACAAGGGGAGACTCCTGAGCCAAGCTTTGTTCAGGACCCAATCCACTATTTGGCCACAGGATGACCCTCCACAAGTTCGCGGTTGCTCGCAACCGTCCATCAGTCCCACTGTAGCTGAGACTGAGAGGAGCTTCGGCAAAAAAAAAAAAAGGCTATCTGACAGTCAGTCCTGCAAAGGAGTACTCAATGTTGTTCAGGGTTCCCTTCAGCCAATGGAAAGCAAGAGTGGAGTGGGTTATACTCTGTAATATGGTAATCCAACCTGCCAGTGGATGGGGACGAGACCGATGCTCCTAAGAGTGGACAAGGAGTCAGGATCACCAGGAGCCGGAAAAAAAAAAAAAAAAAAAAAGACTGTGCCATGGACAAGAGGCCCATCCGAAAAAGGGCTTCATGTTCTTTTAAGGTCTGCAAAGGAAGGATTAAGGCCATAGCACACCCCACACAGAACCACCCACTCATCATGGAGAATCAGAAAGGACAGCTACATCGTTTTCCTTGGTCGAAAGTTGGTCTCTAGGCTGCCACCCGATTGGCGGCAGGCAGATTTTGGGACAGTACTGCACAACCAAGAACCAAGGCAGCCGTCCCAAGAATGAAACAGATAGTCATCCTTGCTGCTTAGGGCATAGTGACTTTTTTTGCCTTTTCTTTTTCGAAACACTATGGCTTCCCTTAGCGTATCTGACCGCATAGGTAGGGTCGACTTCTATGTAGAACTTCCTAGTGTGAGTATGCTATGCTCTTAGAGTATGAGGTGACACCAGAAGGGAGCTTGACCTGACTGGGCAATCTGTGCAGGGAGGGTTCCAAATTGCCAGCAGCGCTCACAAACAAAATTGAATTTCATGCAAACCAGCCAGATAGTCTGCTGCTAAGGAGGACCCTTATTTTCCATTGGAAGAAATCTCCTCCTGCCTGCAAGAAATCTCCACTTGCCTGCAGCAAAGTCAGTGCAATCCCAACTTGTCTGATGCTGAAGTACATCGCAGTCGGCGTTTTGAAACCCTCTTGCCTGCAGCTTCCTAGGAGACGAGATGTTCTCCAAGCCGAGTTAGTTCACGACTTCCCACAACACTCCAGACCACCAAAACCTAATGGCATCTAGTTGATGGGCTCAGCCCTCATTAACCCGTCAATCATTCAGATTGGGGATTTACGTAGGGTCGCTGAACCCCAAAACCGGTGCTGTATGGGCAACATAACCCCAACCACCAGGCATCATCTACCCATCCACAGATCCTTCGACACGGCGAAATCACAGAATTGCTATTGCAACTACATTTGAAACAAAGTACTGTGGCACACACAACTTTTTACAAAGGGATGGGGTTCGAGAGGAGCTTAAGACGATCCCAAAGACGTGGAGAACAGACAGACCACACAGACACAGGCACAAACACACATACGAAAGCTGTCGCGGTCACCACTTCCTTTGTGGAGTTGTGTTTAGTGGATACAAAACACAGACAGGGAGAGGGGACTTCCGACACAACCTACTTGTCGCAAGCAACCACTGATGCGTGTAAGTCAGTCTAATGACTGTTTGTGGAATCTAGCCTCCAAAATGACAGGAGGTGGCAGGTGAAATATCGTACAGGTCCTACATTCTCGTAGCTGGCTTGAAGGTCACTACAACAGGGAGGACTTCGCCTCGGAAAAATATTCACGGATAAGTTGCGATAACATCAAGTGGCTTGGTCGACAACATGTACTTTTTCTGATTCATAATCTGTGGGTAAAGTAAAAGGAGTCCCTCGTCCCACCCAAAGAAACAAAAAAGGGCACGGTGCAAAGAAAAAGAAAAAAGGAGACTCAGTCGTCCAAAAACAGCCTAAGGACTCGATAGCTTAAATCAGCACCCAGCCCACGGGGGCACAGAGGGGAAGTGTGCTACGGTGGTAGGCATCGCTCACCAGTTCCAAAGCTAGCTATCCATCCTGGCGATAGCGAGCCGGCCCTTGCTGTGTCGGGCGGGGGATGGTGAAACGAACGAGAGACAGCGACGTGACAAACTCACGCTGAACAGAAAAAAAAAAGGGGAGCCCCCTGTATTTGTCCTACCTGCCCACTCACTCACTGACTACTGAAATCGATGTCATCCGGAAGGACGCGCCCGCCGATACGCGGGTGCATAGTAGCATACACAAACAAGACCACAGACACAGAAAGGGGTTGGGGGGGACAGAGAGAGAGAGCGGGGGGGGGGGGGGGGGGGGGGGGGGGGGGGGGGGCGGTAGGGAAAAAAGAACACTAATAGAGAACGCCTCTGCAATCTGGTGCTCCGCAGTAGCAATTGCGGTGCCGGTGTGTGCCATCGGGTTGAAGGACGCTGTTCACTTCGTAGGCATAGTCATACGTGAGCTCGTGCAAAGCTGGGATATGTTCGCCGGCAAACAGGCAGATGTGCGGAAGCTCGAGATCATGGTGGTCGTGGAGGACGCACTGAACGAACATGTTGGGAGAGCAACTGTGGTTTGCGAAGCGTGATACGTTTCCCACCTTGGATGCATCCATGCAGAAGTCCACATTGTCGTCATAGCGATCTGAAAGCAGCTTGGCCGCATGCTCGTCCGTCTCATCTATCGTGGGAACGTCGCCCCACCTGCTTTGCGCCGAGTACTTCATTATCCTCAGAAGATCCAGATCAAATAGGTACTCGTCACAATCCACTTTCTCCCCATCCGTGTCCTTGAGCACACGCCCTGCGTACTCGCACACAAACGACCCCGCAGGAATGGAGTCCCAGGACCGCAAGCCCCAGCCTTTGTTTTCCGTCTTGAACACCTCGAATCGGAACTGCAACCCCTGCTGCGTGGTCCGGTTCAAGCACTCGGGCCCACAGGAGCAATTGGGCCCGCACTCGTACACCACACTCCTCGCCTTCACCAGCCTCGGGCCTCCAATCTTGACATAGGGAAAGGTTCCGCCGTTCTTCCTAGCACACTCGCACAGCTCCGCGTTGGTGCACTTGTCCTTACAACTGCAGCCCTTCTGCCGCACGTGGGGCACCAGTCCTGCCAACTCGATCCTCTTGGTGATGTATTGGAAGGGGGGGGGAGGGACAGGGGGGTCATCGAAGGTATTTACAGCCACGATCTTCCTCCGCTCGAGACCGTCGGCGATGTCTTCGCAGACCACGCCTGCTGGGGTGAACTTGACACTCTTCGGCTTGAACTCGACCAGGTCCGTTGTCAGAGGAGGCTGTGCCGGAAGCCGGTGCAACTTGAACTTGATGACTCTGAAGCCTGAGATCCCGACTTCTTCCCACGTGGACACGACCTCGTACAGACCATCGTAGGTGTACACGCGCTTGGTGAAAGTGTTGGGCGAGCTATGACCGCGAACCAGTCGCACCGGCTTCCTCAGCTCCATGCTGTTCCTCAACCCCTTGTTGCCCTTGGAATTCGGATCCTGGTCCTTGAGCTGGCACCTTCCGCCCGTGATATCATTGCCACCCTCCCCGGTATATACAAGTTCCTCTCCATTGTCCAGATCGTCCTCGTATCCTCCCGACATAACAACAGCCAGGGCTAATGTCACATCGTCCTGGACTCCTTGCTGATTGGTGATCCGCACGACTCCAGTCCCGATCCCATTCATCCAATTGGGGTGCAAACCCACCACGCACATCTCGCATCGAGCGTAGAAGCGATCGCCCGGTTTGACACCTGGCACGGGACCAACTATGGGCCCCTTTGGATTGCGATTGACAACGGCACCGATATGTCTCATCTCGGAAAAGGCCTTGAGGTCAGGACGGGAAGCTTCCATCTGGCTGAAGCGCAGGAACAAGGCGTTGAAATGCCTCAGAGTCTGCTTGACGAAGCGTCGAGCCTCCGATTCATCCAGACGGGTAAGATCAAGCACACGCCCCCCCTCCCAGTGCCGAACGAGCTCATTTGCGTTCACGGACGAGCGTTTGATCAGGTGCACGTGATTGCCATCCCCGCCGCCGCTGCGCCCGTTTTCCCCGCCAGGCGGAGACATCTCGCTCGCGCACGCGCGCCCCGACGCAGCAGCTCTCGTGTCTTCTGCTGCTGCTTTAGCTGCCAGCCCCATCTGCAGCTCGACCCTCGGGCTCCTGCGCAAGACTAAGCCTTCGCGGCGCAGCTTCCGCTTGCCCCACTTTCTGTTTCCCGGCCTCTCCGCCCTCCCTCCCTGCTCCACCCCATTACCCGCCACCGTCCTGCGCTCTGCATCCTCTTCCCCTCCTCTTTCCCTCGATCTCTCTTCAGGATCGTCATCCCGACCCATCACTTCCACCCCTTTCTCACGATCGCGCTTGCCTTCCGAGTCATCCCCGACGAGTACCGCCCTCTTAGCCGCGGACGGCGAATGCACGCCCGCGTGCTTCGTGCGCCGTGGCGCAGTTGGCATGGCCTCGCTGCCTCCATAGCCACGGTGCGCCGCCGATGTGCCTCCGCTAGCATGATACGTGGAGGAAAGAGAATGAGCAGCAGGAAGAGTGTCATCGCTCGGCCCAGCGTCGTCTTCTTCGCGGGCCAAACACCGCAGCGAAGCGCCCGGCGAGGGCGAGGATGAAGAAGGGCATTCTTTTCCTGAATAATATTGAGCCCCCCGATCCTCGCCGTCAGACAGGTAGGTGATCGTAACATGACCTTTACCACCCAAGCGACGTGGAGAACCGACAGGCTGACGTGGCCTGTGATGCGCAAGCGCCATCAGGCGCTGATAACTGCTGCGCGGAGTGGCGGCGGAAGCACTCCCTCGGGGAGGTGGTCGCACACAGCCAGAGGGGTGAGGAGAGTCTCGCTCGCCCTCCTCCGGTCGCTGCTGACCATTGCGCAAAGGCCGGGCTCGAACGCGAACAGGATGCGGCGACAGCGCCCGACTCAGAGGAGGAGATATGGATAACCCCCTCCTTTCTCTCTTTCCCTCCTCAATCACCACTGCACCCCCACTCTTAGCCCTCTTTGAACTACGACGCCAATCCTCTTCTTCGATCTCCACCAAGTCCATGTCATCATGCTCCGATGATTGACCCCCACCATGATCATTCTCGGCGTCCCCGCCGACACCCTCCTCCTGCTCGCGCCCTCCTTCCTCCGCCTCCTGCCCGCGCCCTCCCTCCTCCGCCTCCTGCTCGCGCCCTCCCGCCTCCTCCTCCTCACCCCCCCCTCGTTCACCATCACCTTCAGATGAGCCTTCTTGACGTTGACGACAGCTAGATGTAGATGGGGAATCACTGGAGCCATTACAAAGCGCAAGGGCAAGGGTAGTGGAAGGAAGAGCGGGGAGAGGACGGGGAGGAGAGGGAAAGGGAGAAGCCGAGAAGGGGAGACAAAATAAATGTATCTCCGTCGGACACGTGGCGCGAGGGCTAACGAGACCGGTTGTCTCGTTCGGTTCTCCTCTGACAGGGACTGGAAGACGTGGGGAATCTGCTGCGAAGCCGCGGCAAGAGCGAACACGCGATGACAGTACTTCAGAATGAAGCCCCCCCCCGTCGGACACGTGGCGCTCCATACAGGTCGGAGAGCTCGAAACCACTCCCCTCCGCGGCGGTGATAGAGGAGCTGATGGGGAGGGGGAGGCTAATAGCCGCGACCTTCTCCCGCCATTAGACGCGCTTATTGTCTCCCAATGCTGCGAAGCTTGTTGGTCGACCGCGTGGTAGGGAGAAGGGGACACCCGCGATCTTGTCCCTTCCCTTTCTGACGCCAGTGGCAGAGATAGCCGTCGCGTTTGCTGTTCTGTCCAGTTCTCCGGCCCCACTTCTCGAACCTCTTCATCATCGTCTGAATCCAAGTCAACAATCACCGCACCTGCTGGCGGGGTGAAAACACCCGATCGCCCCCCCACGCTAGTGGCCATAAGGACCTGTCTTCACTTCTCCTTACCACTTCTCCTATAGCCCCCCCTCTGCTCCCCCTCGTGTTATCCCTCCTCCTCTCCTCCCCCCCCCCCCCCCCCCCCCCCCCCCCCCCCCCCCCCCCCCCCCCCCCCCCCCCCTCCCCCGCCCCCTTCCTTCTTCTACTTCTGATTTAGATTCCGATTCCGATTCTTAATTCTTGGCCAACTACTGCGACAATCTCATTACCAATAACTACTTCGCTCTCCTTCCTCTTTTCCTCCTCAGTCGCCACCTCCTTCTGCCACTAACTCCACTCTTCTTCCTTCTCTTCCTCTTCCCTGATGTACATCCTCCTATATTATTCTCTCCCTCCCCCTGCTCCTCCTATGTTTACCCCCTATTCCTGGTTTTCATTAGGCTTAACAATGCTCACATAGGGATTTTGCTGGATGCACGTGAACATGCGGACCACCAGATCGAGGCGAACGTCTCTGTGATATGCCCTTATTCTACTGCTCCTTCCTCTTCTTCTCCTTCTACTTCCTCCTCTTCTTCTTCTTGTTCTTCTTCTTCTTTGTTCTTCTTCTCTCGGCTTCCTCCTGTTTATCCTGCCTTCTCTTTTCCTCAATAACTGTCACTCTGCCAAGACACTCAACTTCCCATCCAACAACGATTCCATCACCCACCAACAACGACTTCTTCTCGCTCTCTCCCTCTTCCAGTTGCTTCTACTTTAGGTTCAGGCCAAAACTCCCGAATACGTCACCCATTCAATCCCCTCCTCCATTCCAGCGTCACACTCCGCCTTCTCGCCATATAATCCCGACTCGATAGCTCCGCTCACTCGTCTCCGTTCCCGTCTGTCTTTCCGTCTTATCCCTTTATCCCCTTCTTTTTTCTCGTCGTACCCCCTCGACTGTCTGCTTCTCTCGTCTCTTCTTTATTCCATCTCGCAATATCTTCTATCCTCTTGTCATTATATCATCTATACACTTATCTCTCTGCTCGCCTATTTCCTGTTCCCGTCTTTCTCCCTGTCTCTCCACACCCATCTGCTACTCTCTCTCCTCTCCAGTCTGCTCCTCTCTTCCCCTCCTCCATGTCCTCACACCTCTCATGTCCAAACATCGCCTCTCTTTTCTCCTTACCGCCTTTCATCTGATGATGAACCCTGCCATTGCCCGCGAATGGTGGTAAAACATCCAGCTTCCTGGAAACGCGGCGGCGGCGCGCATACGAGTAAGAGCGGGAAGCAGAGGTCAAGAATGTCGAATCTGCATCTCCCTGCCGCAGTTCTGCTGTACTGAATGAAGAATCAACCCCGTCTCTCTTGCACAGGGATGGCAAAAATGGCAACGCTGAAAGCTGGAGAGATGGCGGAAGGCGAACGAGGAGTGGGCATGGACCTCGGGAACCCACAGAGAAGAAGAGCAGACAGCGGGAAAAACGGGGAGCAGGGATGGGAGGCGGCAGGAGGAGGAGGAGGATAGAGGCAGAGAGCAAAGAGAAGAGGGGGAGGCAAGGAATACCGAGGAGGGGGAAACCCAGGAAGAAAGAAGCGATAGAGACAGAGAAGAGGGAGAGGGGAAGGAAGACCGAGGAGCAAACCGAGGAAGAAAGAAGCGACGGAGACGGCGCGAGCTATGTAGAGGGAAGAGGCGCGCCGCGGGAAGGAGACGTCACGGTCGCCTGGAGAAGGCGGGGCGGGAAAAGGGAGGGAGGAGGAGAAGGAGAAGGAGAAGGAGAGGAGAGAACAAGCGCCGTGTCCCGCGAGGTCGGCCAGTAAGCGATCGCGAACGGGATTACCAGCAGCAAGGGATCGGGAAAGATGTGGCCCCGCAGAGGGAGAAAGAGGCAGCTGGACAGATCAATGGGCCGAATAGTCGTGCGTGTTCAGCGTTCAGCACCCATTCAGCAGTGCGTGGTTTTTGCCCGCGAGTGGTGGCGGAACATCAACCTTCCTGGAAACGCGGCGGCGCGAAGACGAACGGACCAGAGCCTTCAGACCAATTCCCCAATGGCCAGGGTAATCGTACGAGTACGGGCGGGAAGCAGAGGTCAAGAATGTCGAATCTACATCTCCCTGCCGCAGTTCTGCTGTACTGAATGAAGAATCAACCCCGTCTCTCTTGCACAGGGATGGCAAAAATGGCAACGCTCAGAGCTGGAGAGATGGCGGAAGGCGAACGAGGAGAGGGCATGGAACTCGGGAAGCCAGAGAGGCAGAGTAACGGCGGGGAAAATAATGCAGGGCGAAGGCGGGAGACACAGACCCAAGAGAGAAGAGGGAGGAGGCAAGGTAGACCGAGGAGGAAACCGAGGAAGAAAGAAGCGATGGAGACGGCGCGAGCAACGCAGAGGCCAGAGGCCAGAGGCGCTCCGCATGAGGGAGACGTCACGGTCGCCTGGAGAAGGCGGGGCGGGAAAGGGAAGGGAGGAGGAGGGGAAGGAGAGGAGAGAACAAGCGCCGTGTCCCGCGAGGTCGGCCAGTAAGCGATTGCAAACGGGACTACAGCAGCAAGCGATCGGGATAGGTGGGGCCCGGCAGAGGGAGAGAGAAGCAGTGGGACAGATCGATGGGCCGATGAGTCGGGCGTGTCCAACGTTCGACACCCATTCAGTGGTTTGCGAATTTTTTTTTTGAAATAAACTGTCCCGTATGGGAGACGGCCCCTCCTCGTTGAAGGCCGTTGCCCAGTTCAAACCACCGGTACTTACCCAGCCTCATTTCACCGACGCTCGGCTTACGGAACCGTTGTGCGGGAATCTGGTATTGGGTGGGAATCAAGTGTCTTGATGAAATGGCTTTTGCGGGTCTAAGCCTCAACCCCCGCCCACTGCTTGCCTTTCTTTTTAGGAGGGTAAGTCCCAAAATCTATTCGCAGCCCGTCAGGGGTGCGTTTTCCCCCCCTGAGACATTTTCGTCGTCCTCCTTTATACGGGTCGTTGATTCGGGCTCGTTTGGTCGTTGGAAGGTTCGAAAAATTTGCAACCTGTTCGCATCCCGTCAGGGGTGCGTTTGCCCCCCCCGAGACAGTTCCCCCCGAGACATTTTGGTCATCCTTCCTTATACAGGTCGTTGATTCGAGCTTGTTTGGTGGTTGGAAGGTTTGAAAAATGCAGGCAGGTGCAGGCACGACACTTTGAGGGGTGGTGGCAGTTTCTTTGCAAAATGCGGGACTCGTAGCTGCCCGTAGGACCGCGCGCTGGGTTTTGGTCGAAACGGTGGCAAAGCAGCGGCAGGGTGGATCTTTTTTTTGGGGGGGGCAGTTTCTTTGAAAAATCCGGGACCGGTAGCTGCCCGTGAGACCGCTCGCTGGTTTTTGGTCGAAATGGTGGCAAAGCAGCGGCAGGGTGGAAAAGTGGAAAAGTCTGAATCAGAAAGAGCGCGGCCTTGGCCGCAGGTTGAAAAGACATACCTGCATTGCATTTGCAAGAGCAAACAGATGTGTCTGAACGTGGACGTATTCAACGCCGTACAGGTTCAACGCCCGATTGAGCGAGTCACATGTAGCAAAACAACTTTTTATTTATTGTCTACCGCGTGGGGGCAGGGAACGCAGCCCTAAGATAGCCAAATCAATGAGACTAAGAGCTAACACAAAAGAGAGAGAGAGAGAAAGAGAGAGAGAGAGAGAGAGAGAGAGAGAGTTTTGTTCCATTTACTGTTATGAGTGTGGGAGAGAGAAAGAAATAGAGAGAGAGGGAAGGGGAGGCCTACCAGAGAGAGAGAGAGAGGGGGGGGGCGGGGACTACTCTAGAGAGAGAGAGAGCGGGGGGGGCGGGGACTACTCTAGAGAGAGAGAGAGAGAGAGAGAGAGAGAGAGAGACTGAATGGCAAAATTAAATATGGGTCAAGTTGCGCCCGCGATCTATTTTGCAGTTGGAATGATTTTTTTTAATTTATTGGCCCAGGCATGGCTGAGTGGCAAAAATGAAAAATGTGCCGAATCGGTGCGACGATTACTTCGCAGTGTAAATAATTTTTTTTAAATGTTCTATTATTATTTCTGGAAATAACACAACCTTTTTTTTTTTTTTTTTTTTTTTTGAAAGGCCCTTGTGCAAGACCTCTATTCTGGTGGTGGTAAGAGAACCACCGGGATTGAGGTTTTGCCAAGCGGGCCGCTCCATCTATTGGTGGGGAGCAACACCTGTTGGAAACCGGGTCCAGCGTCCCATGAATACATCTTTGCCACACAGTACATCAATGAAAGTGACGCCATAGTGCTGGAAACCGGGTCCAGCGTCCCATATCCACTCTACTCTGCCATTCCTATCTTGCAGCAGGGTCAGCTGAACTCAACCGAAATCTTTTGAGATTTATAGAAGAATACTTGAAGAGTACTGAAGATTTATAAGAGTTGTGGGGGTCCTCACCTGCTGGGAACCGGGCCCAGCGTCCCATGACTATTCTGTGCAAAATAACACCCCTCCCCTAGCTCCAGCGCTCGACCTGCTGTCCTCATGGCGTCCCGTATCCCGTATACCACAAACAGAGCCTCTGAGCAAAAGGAGGGTTTTGAATTTTAGTGATTTAGATGACTCTAGGCCCCCAAGTACTCCTCCAGGGCCCATGGGTGACCTGCGAAAGAACACGACCTCATCTATGGATTCTCAAAATTTCAGATTTTTGTGCATGTTCGTTCGAGCACAGAAAATCATCAAAGTTACCTCTTGCAGAACACCTATTTCGTTGTGCCTGACCTCCCTGTTTTGAGAAGACGGGGCTCAATGCCTGGGCCTAAAGGCCCTTTTGCAGTTCACATGCCCTTACTTCTTTTTGCGTTCTGCTTCTACCCGGGGTTCGGTCCAAGCCCCCCACTTCTTTTTGGGGTCCACTTCTACCCGAGGACCGGTCCTTCCTTTTTCCAAAAGTCCTGGTTCTAGCAGAGCTAGCTGTAGGTAGTCCGCAGTTTAGCCAAGGACCGGTCCCCCAAATTTTTTTGCCCCCTAAGAACCCACTTTGCGTCTTGGTCGCCCGCCGCCAAAAATGCGACAACTTGACACAGACGCGGAAGCCCACTATACCGCAGCCTAAGGGCTGCGAATTCCACTCTACCCACATTCTTTAGGGGTATTTTAAACGCAAGCTTTCAGGAATAATTGTCTACCGCGTGGGCGCGGGGAACGCAGCCCTAAGGTAGCCAAATCAATGAGACTAAGAG